ATATATCTTGTTCTGTTTCTTTCTTAAATCAATTACAATATATCTTGTTTTGTTTCTGTCTCAAACAAATTACAATATATCTTGTTCTGTTTCTGTCTTAAATCAATTACAATATATCTTGTTCTGTTTCTGTTTTAAATCAATTACAATATATCTTGTTCTGTTTCTGTCCTAAATCAATTACAATATATCTTGTTCTGTTTCTGTCTTAAATCAATTACAATATATCTTGTTCTGTTTCTGTCTTAAATCAATTACAATATATCTTGTTCTGTTTCTGTCTTAAATCAATTACAATATATCTTGTTCTGTTTCTGTCTTAAATCAATTACGATATATCTTGTTCTGTTTCTTTCTTAAATCAATTACAATATATCTTGTTCTGTTTCTTTTTTAATTCAATTACAATGTATCTTGTTCTGTTTTTGCTTAATTACAACCTGTGCTGCATCTAAAAACGGTTACAAAATCCCGTGAAGTTCCTTTTTCTTTGTATCCTTTACAGCATGTTATTTGATTTAGCTTTATAGGAATGACAACGCGGCTGTCTTGTTCCTTGTTAGTCATAGATCGAATAAAGCATACTGTTTATTGTGTTTAAGTATATCCATTGTGTTGTTACATAAATTTCATGCATTACAATGCTTCATTTTCCCTGGATTCTTAGCCAAAGTTGAGGGGACTATGAAATCGTTCGGCTCCGGAAACAGTTAATATTAACCCATGGCAACTGTATTAAACCAATAAAACTAATTTGGTAGTTTCGTTAACTTTATTTTATTACCAGAAAACAGCCAAGGGATTGAACACATTTTACAATAGCATTATAAATGCCATTTCTTGTAAAAACTAATGGGATGTTTAAAATGCTTAAAAATGACAAGGACAGTTTTGTAACAAGATCTTTTGACTACTATTGCCTGTCCATACAGCTTAAACTATTTACAAACAGGAAACTAAAATTACCATTAAAATCAATGATGTGGGAATGAAACCTGTTGGTGCCAGATGACAGTAGCACAAACCGAGAGTTATTGATCATTGCATTGGTTTATAGTCAATCGTTTATATAGACTGTGTGATATCACAATCTAGAAAATCATTGACGAATGATAACCAAATAATCTCATAATTTTTTCGTTTGTAACTCAAAAAATACCATATGCCGGCAGTGTTTACTAACGATTAGGACACTCGAGGACTTTTATTATTTGTCATAACACTGAAGTGTAGACACCGTCACACGAGATCGTCCTTGTGTCATTATGAATAACTGGAACTGCTCATATTTCTATGTAATAAAGTAAAAATCCGTGTTGTGTCATTTTTGTTCATTTTGATGTTATAAATGGGATTAGCGATGAAACGGGAGTCTAAGAACAGAATTGTTAAAAAAAAACGGAACAGCGGTTGCTGTAGGTGAGGTACTACCAAAAACGAAAAGTGGTTTGCTTTTCATTCCATCGATTTGAAAAAGACGCTAGGTTATGCAGCTAGAATATCGTTGGCAAAACTGATCATTATGCGATCCTGGTTTAATTAATTCATACTCTGTAGTATTACCAGATGTTAAGGATCCTTGTACCGCTTCCAAACCGTGTAAATTATACTATCGCTGTTACTGATTGAGCTTCCTGTTCACCTGAAATGTCCTGGACATTCTGTGATACAGTTATAAGCAAATGGTAGTTAATGGGAGGTTACAGTATTTAGAGAGAAAAAAACATAGTGTAGCGGGACAGGGATCCTTAAATATTTGATTTTGTGTTAAAATTGTATCGTTACCACACCTCGTATACAGTTATCTCGAATGACATCACCCCTTATCTCGAAAATCATCCATGCCACAGTTCCTGTTTAATAACTAATGTATTATATCATGTCTATTTGCAGGGGAAGAAAGTTTACAGAGTAACGGTTAAAGAGGTGAGCAAATAACAAAAGAAAATTGCAGTGACAACGTTTATTGTGTAAACATGTTTCAACACGTATTGTCCTTTCATTTCAACAAATCTCAAATTAAATTAGCTGTCATACAGAGCCTCTCTCACAAAATTTGAAAGATCGCTGGTTGAATCGAAAATGAGTAATGCCCCTCATGACAACAATCAACGATTGCACATTCTCTTTAAGAAGAGTCATGACGAGTCCCGAGGAGGTTCGGGACAATGTGAAAGAATCGACCAGCTAAATGTCACTGCATGATCTTAAGAGGCAACTAGTGCGAGCTCCATATGGGACTTTTTTTGTGTATTCAAATTGGGAACACCAAAGAGATAAAATTTGTAATCAATTAGCTATTTCCATGCTTTCACATTATAACATGTCATGGAAAAAACGAAATTGATAAGAGCAGACGCCAATTATTTCTGCCCGCCATCGATCCATATAGCCACATGTCTAGTATGACGAAATTCAATATTAATCAACGAACCGCTGGAGGGATTTGATATCAAAATAATCATAACAACATGACAATCGTAATTTTTCATGAGGATTGTTCGATAAAAATAGTACATTTGATCTTTAAATCATATAATTTCCCTAATTGTGTTCACGATTTCCCTAATTGTGTTCGTAAAGAATATTTTTAGGCGTTGTGGAAGTTGTATTGATAGTTTATGTTTGTTTGCGCTAAGGTTTTTGTCCTAGACACATTTAATTAGGGTCATTTGAAGACGGCTCCACAAAAAATTGAACCACTCGTGTGTCATTTTAATCTGCATTTTCACTGGTATGTCATAAGAGGGGCAAGATGGCTACATAAATTTAACAGGGCTTAAAGAAAGAGATTCCTACACCGGCCGAAATAGAAGGGTATACAGTAGAGAACAAGAGGTCCGTAATATTCAATAAAACTTTATTTCTTTGGTGTTTCCGATTAAAGCGTACAAGACAACCTCATGTATGGTGGTCGAATAAGTTGCTACTTCCGATCATGCAGTGGAATGTTTTTTCTAATTGTTCTAATCTAGTACTGTTTTTTATATTGAATATGGAGTTGTTGAATGTTTTTACATAGACATAACTCACTGTTGACTCAACCAGCAAGCTTATTATTTTCATAGCTTTTGGCAAAATTCCTCATCTTCAAAGACCGGAACAATTACCAATGAATGTTATATATAGATATATTTAGAAGCTCTTCGGTGATGCTTTCATGCAAGTCTAATAACATATTTTACCTTCAACTGAGCGAGATCGAGTTATCTCAGTCGAAGGCTATAAGATTCTGCAACAAAATCCCAACCGAGGCGTAAGCGCATTGTCAATTTCGAGTATGAGTGCTCGGATGAATACATCGCTGTGTGAAAATTCCGCGAAAAGTCACAGAAAGGTGTCAGATAGTTCGGACGAGATAGAAAATCTAGCACGGGGTATCACATGGGATTTCCTTGTTCGAGGTGCGAGAAAATAGTAAAAAACAGATGTTAATAGGGCAATAAGATTTATACGTAATGTCCATGGTCTGAAGGAGGCTAATTGAAATTGACGTTTAATGTATGTGTTTCTCGGATGGAAGTTTAGTTACATACATCCAGATGACATTTGGAGCTGAAATCAATCAAGTATTTAGACATTTTAAATACATATTGAATTGTTTCATCTTTCTTTGTTTACGGGTTTATAAAGCACAACCAGTGAAATGTTCATATGCGACGTATTGGTGACCAGTATTATATGACCATGTATTAAGCAAATGCAAGGCAGACTGAGTTTGTCGATGTCGTACATTTTAACAACTAAGTATACATATGCATATAGTATAGCAGAATCGACGCCGCTGTTATTGGCATTCTTACATATTTCACACGTAATTCTACATACGCTTCAACGGTCATTTGTATGATGAAGGTGACAGAGTACATATAGTACTAGATATCAAAACGTCACACGTAAACACTTCACTGGTTGTGCTAGATAAGCATGTATGCATTGTTTATATACCACTCTGAAGAAAACGTTTTGAAATGTTTCATATATTGCTTCTGTATACAATCCAAGACGGAATGTGCTATATTTCTTGGCTCAAAGCCGAGACAGATAAATAGCAACTATGTGATAATAGTTCTTTCTCTTGTCTCATTTTTTTGCATGATATATAAATTATGTCTGTCTGTGTCTTGACAGCGGAGCGAATTGTCTCGGATACTTGACAAATTACATTGTTCCCAGTGTCGCTTCAACACCTAAGCTTACACACCTGTTTAAGTCATACACAGTCATAAAACATTCCTCGGATCCAGTATGTAAATTAAATCTTAACAATATTTGAATTTGACACAATGCCAACCATGTCTACAGGGAACAACCTTACGATTCTTTAATATCACGTAGTGCCTCTTAAATGTCATTTGTTACTAGTCAATTCGGTATTAAACCGCCCAAGGGAAGGCTCAAAAGTATGGTAAGCCAAACTAACTCATTTAATACTCAAAGAGGGTTCGTGAAAGTATTGAATGTTTTTAATGAAATAGAGATATCTCTACAAGAATCAAATAAATCTGTAAACATAACAGAGATATTCTTAAATGATATAAATATATGTCATTAAAGTTCGTTTGAAGATAACGTTAAATGTAAGAAAGAGATATGATCTCTATTTTTATAAGATATCTCCTTAATTAGTAGAGATATTTCCTTAATTGATAGCGATAGCTCAATAAGAATATGAAATATAACCTAAAATATATTTGATACCTCTCCCAGATATTATATGTTTAGTTGGCTTGCGATACAAGCGTGGTCACTAAGCAAATGGTCAGACTCTTTTAATAAATACATCTCCAGCACACACGCAGGCATATACACATAGGGAGATATTAGCCAGGTGGCATAGGACTAGTAGTTAGCGCCTGATAAGGCAGCTCCTGCGAATTAATGGGTATGCTAATTGTATTAATTGTATATATATGTACTGTAAAGCGCTTTAGAGTGGCTTATGTTATCATTATTATCATTAATAATCAATAAATGATAAACTGTCTTTGTTGCCTCAAGAATTCATTCAACTAGATATATTTTTATCTACAACATTTCACATCTTTTCGAATCAAGCTAAATCAAGTTCTGAACATTTTCGCAAGTATATATCGACTTGAATCGCTTTTTCACAGCACCAATGTACTGATATGTTTCTATTGCAGGAGATGCCGTATATTTTCCAGACGCCAGGTTCATCGGAGGGACCAAACAGCTTCGAGGGGTTATTAATAGATGTGCTTGACAGGGTGTCAAAAATACTTGACGTCACGTTCTCGCTTAATCACGTTGGTGATGGCGCGTTCGGTGAAAGGAGAGATGACGGGACTTGGACGGGCATGATTGGCGAGCTCCAAAGAAATGTATGAAACTGCAGTGATGACATAAGTGTTCAGGGGAGATAATCTAATATACAAATGTTTTATAAGCAATGCCAGAACTCATAGTATTCACTTTTACTGGCTGAAGTATCGCTTTTGCCTTATGTATCCATGGGGATTGTTCTATTTTTTAAAAGGTCATATGATCATGCACAAGCAGAGCCAATGTAATGCGAACGCAATTTAGTATATTAGTCTTCTTTTATCGGAAAAGATGCATACAAATAATCTTCAGAATTAACTAGATGTAAATTAACGTGATTGCTTTATCTATTTTACTTCTCAGGAATCAGACATAGCGGCCGGACCTTTAACCGTCACGGCTGACCGGGCACGTATAGTGGACTTCTCACGGTCTTTCTCCAGCACAGGTCTCAGAATATTGGTCAAGCGGCCAGAGAACACGCTGACCTCCACTGACCACGTGGATTTGTTTGTGCAACCTTTCAGTGTTGGTGTCTGGGTTCTGGTCCTCGCCACAGCGGCAGTGTTACAAATACTCCAGTCTCTTAATCAAAGGTATAGTGTAGCAGAGTTTGTTTGTTAAGGGAATTTAAGTTAGTTCATTGCAATTACTAAGGTCATGTGACTACGGTGATGATAATTTCTCTTAAGAGCTTCCGTCAAATGGCTACATTCATGATGAGACTCATCCTCCATACTCCAGGGGTAACGCTCTCTTACGCTCTCTGCAATCCTGGAATATGCCTTAACCACAAAATTGAAGGCATGTCACTAGCTATTCATTGGTTTCGGGTAGCAAACACCTGACAAATCGCTAGGCTAATAAGTACCTGTCCTTTGAAGATTACAGAGGAGCGACACCTGACTTCAGAGCCTGTTAGTTTAACGTTACGCTTACACTGGATGCGTTTGATATACAACAAAGGATCAAACTAGTCTGGTGCAGATGGCGTAAGTGAGCGTAACTCCTTGAGTATCAATGATTGATGAGGCCACTGGACATCTTTAAGATGGTATGACGACGGAACTCGGCAATAAGGCAATTCAACATATAAGGTTATTTGAAGCCAGTCAACGGCCACTACAAATTGTATATGCAAACTTGTATAGCTTGGATACGGGTAAAAGCGTGACTTATCAGGTGTCAACGGCAATAAAGTGTGGACAGAGAAAGAGATATAAAACAGATCTGAAGTGAAACAATGGCTACAAAACATACTCTACGGTTTTAATCGATTTTCTATACTTTCCAGGTTTAATCCGAAGGAGAAACCGCTAACTAACGAGAAGAATTATGAATATGAATACTGTCCAGCAATAGACGGTATGTATATATAACATTAGCAATAGTCATTTGATTCGTGAACATAACTTAACGTGGCTTCCTTGAAGGTCGGGCATATAACACAATTACCAACTCCAAGTTATGGTACGATTTGGAAAAAAAAACATATAAGTTAAACCGATAATCCGCATTGTTTAACTCTTTTTTTACAGCGGAGCCGTTGAAATTAATTCCGGCAAATTGACAATTTTTTTCTATTAGATAATTACATTTGTACTTGTTGGAACGTTATTTGGAACGCACTGTTTATAGGTCAGTTTCAGGTAGGTATAACTCGAGCTATGTATAAAATTGCGTTTGCGATACATTTTATTTGCCGGAATGAATGACGTTTATGTAAAATGGGCAGGCAAGTGTAACAGTCTGGTGTACACAAAACTGCAGTCATTTCCGCAATTTCATACCATGTTTCCTACTTTCAGAGAAAAGGATGCATACATCAAAAGCCGGATGGATTCTGTCGGCTTCTTCCAAAGTATTTGTTGTATCGTCAGTGACGTTTTACACTGCACAGCTTACGAGCATCTTAGTACATTCTGTCGACGGGGAGAAACAGTATCTACCATTCGTCACGTTCGAAGGACTTCTGAATCATCCGGATATAAACTACAGTTGTCTTGATAAAAGTTTCGCTTGTAAATATTTTGAGACTTCAGTACAATCTTTGGAAAAATCAATAGAATTTCATCTCAAATCAGGTAGAAATACGAGATACAATAATATAGATACTGCAACACGTCATCTGCGTAGAAGTACAACAAAACCACAGGCGTTAATAATAGAATCAGATTTTGCGTACTACGTCACAAGTCAGGAGCCATGTGACCTCATCGTTGTCGGTGAGGAGCTTGGAGATATTTCTCATTCGTTCGCTTGTAGACCCGGTCTAAACATATGCCATGACCTTGATGTGGCGATACTGACCTTGAAATCCACGGGAGAGTTAGGGAGGCTTCGAAATAAATGGCTAAGTGGCCCGTGTGGAAAATATTCAGAGATGACATCTCCCTATGCCCATGCAAATAAATATACAACTGACAGACAATTCACTAAAGACAGCGAAAGAACAGTTAAGAGCTTTGCAATACCTTTGGCCGTTGTGTATAGTGGCGTGGTAGTCGGCATATGTATGATGCTCTGGGAAATTTACCGTCCGAAGTCAAAAACGGTGAGTATTCGCGAACTGCAATGTCAGATATAGTCGTCTTGTTTTTGGCCAAGTTAGTATCGTATATGTTAATTTTGAATAAAAGTTAACATGAAATTTTGGAAAACATATTTAATTGATAAAATTGAGTAAAGTTATTTATGTTACAAGAAAAATACAGTTGTACGTGATTACATCGATTGTTCCATGCGATGCGCTTTTAACCAGAAAATAACAGTTATGACAAAAAATGTATTTTGACAGCTTTCTAAACGTATAACGAACCAACTACATTCAGAACTTTTCGTGTGTAGGAATTTAGAAAATCTTCAAATTTATTAATGTATTGACTCACAACATGTCACAAACGCTTGGTATTCCCTTTATCTATCTTTATATTTGTAGGTAAAAATGTTTCGGATTGAATATCACGACAGAAGCGATGGCATTGAAATCGAATCAGGAAGTGACGTCATTAAATGAACCGGAAGTTGCTGCAGTTTGAACATCTCCTCGAGACAAAACGGTCATTCAATGAAATCAGATTGTTCAATGGAACAGATGGGTCATCAGTCAGTGTCCTGATCATAAGATTTATCCTGCCGGAGTTAACGAGCGGATATGTGATTCCCGCGGTTATCAGTGAGCGACATCTGGCGTTCGATATCAATAACGAACGCAGAAAAAAAACTATGACACGTTTGAGTATCTAACGTCAAAATTGAACTTAATATTCAGAAGAAGAAAAAGATACAGCATCGTTTGCATTCATACAATATTGTGTTTCAAACAATGATCTTATTGAATATTTTACACGTGAATTGTGGCACAAGTTGTTATATATTGTATGTGCAGAAGAGAAATTAGGGACTGACAAGTGCAATTGGGGCTAGTGTTGCCTTTGTATCAGCTTAAACTTCATACTTCTTGGTTAGCATTAACCCACCCTATTGCCATAGATCACGAAGGGAAAGGAGAAAAAGCATACTTGCTGTGACAGGTATATGGAATGGAACCGCAAAGTGAAGAAGATGAGAGTCAAAGGGGAACAACTCGATCTAGCAGAAGCGATGTGGTTCCGAGATCGCAAACTATTGGACAGAAATAAATAATGATACTTTTCCTCATTAGGAAAGCTTCATTTACCAACAGAACCATACGAGGATATATCGGATGGTATTTAGTTCAAAGGTGTATTTCTAATTTTTATACAGGAATATCTTCAAGATTAACTTAATAAAGGTCAGCAATACTGTTTTCCTCATAAGTATCTAATTCTTGTCGGGAGGACGTTCATTTATATTATAACTGAATATCCGAACCAAAAGCTCCATGGGGTCTTGATATTGTCAGAAGCAAAATGGGTTAAAAACTATGAATATTATTTGTACTGCCCATTTCAAAGTTCATAGTAGTCAAAGATGTTGAAAATTTTTAACGACTTTTGAATTATTAGGATGTGAACGATAATTATTTGTGCCTGTATCAGGCTGGAGTGAATGGTCTATCCAGTTTTTCTGTTCAATAACGTTGATTTTTGTTTTCATTTGTAGTTCACGGGGTTCAAATGTGTTAAACCTTTAAACGACTTCTTCTGAATTACCAAAAGGCATTGGGTCATGCTATTCTGCAGGTTGTGCTTAAGGGATATCAAGCTTGTTTAAATATTTACATTGATTCACTTTGAAGTTGCACGAAAAAAAAATCAGTTTAAATATTTCAACAAAGATGAATAAGGTGAAGAGTATTTATCGTTAGTCTATATAATGCCAGATTGCTTGCTATCAAGATTGTGTTGAAATATATTCGACGTTTGCCACTTTATAGGTCACAGATGTAAAAGATTGGATTGTCACTGAACAACGTTCCAAAGTAAAAAAGATAAGAAGAAATATTTATTTGGTTTTGTTCATGGTAAGCGTCCTCAGAGAAGCTAAGGTTAATTTTAAGACGACGAAGAAGACATATAAAACGTACATACAGTAAGTAGAATTATAGTATTACTTGCATTCTTAACGTTTTAATAAGATCTATTTTCTCTGTTATTTCCTGTTGTGTATACTGTTGATGACCTTGACGATGAACTAATTTGAGCCAGTTCCAGGAATTTACTGTCTATTATGTTGAGCGTTGGTTCCAATTGAACCTCGTTTACCAATTTTTGCCACAATTTTGCAAATGAATATAAATGAAATGTATATTGCAGTGTATTTTTATTTCATCTTGTGATTGCTTGTTATTGATTTGACTACATGTACATTCGTTCGTCATATTTTGCGTATGAACTCAAGTTATATGTCCTATTGTGACGTCATCAAGAATTAAATGACGTCATAAACAATAGCTTTTAAGCCTGAGTTGCTATAGTTTGTGCTTCTATAATGGTCTGGAAATATTGAATTGGCCAAATAAATCAATAAACATCCAGATTAATGATATATCTTAAACTGGTTTTCATTTCCGAAAAGATGTATAAAAGACGTGACGACCTTTTCATTTTGACTCGCTGAAATGAAAAATTACTGAACTTTTCAGTGAAACTCGTGTAACATCCGATATATTTTTCACTATAAGTGTGTTGTAACAACAGCACAAAGCTCGGATGAATTGTAATATCTTTTACCATATTGGCCTCGGCAGCAAAATAGTGTATCCATGTATTTACGCCTCATCGTATTGGCTGTTAGGGCATACACAAGGAAATTCACAGCATTATTAATCACAGCCAAACAATAGGTAAAGAGCAATGCCGCCTGAAAGTAAAAATTCCCGTCGTACGCGATTACTCGATATTTGTCACATATCAGTAAAACATAACACACATCGTTTGGTAAACAGCACACAACATACGTAATGCTCATTGTTAAGAGCATACTTGTCATTTTTCGTTGCTTTTGCCACCTATGTACATCTTTTACATCCGTGATTTCCCTCGTATTTTTCACGTTTTTTCTAATTCCAGCCATAATTGCCACATTTAATCCCATAATAAGCAGAACGGTCAGGATTCCGTAAACAAAATGCAATACAACACCATACCATCCAAAAAATGCGCCATGATCACTTGTTGTTACTAACGCCATCTCATAGGTAGAATTTGAAGAGTTATCGCCCGTTACACTAATTTGAAAGAGTTCTACCGAGCATGATGTCAAAGTGACAAAATAAACTGATATCGTTAGATAAATTCCAACACGTTTTGAACATAACGTATGAACGTGAAATGGACGGAACACAGCAAGACATCGTTCCATTACTATAACAACAGTTAATGTTTTAGAAATTGATTCCAAGGAGAAAGCAACACGTGATAGAAAGAAAGTGTTTATGTTCAAATATGGTAGTTGTTTCTTGAAATATAAGTTACGTATCTGTATGAAAATGAAGAATCCTTGTCCAAGTACACACAACTCGTCTGCCAGGGCAAGACCCAGCAGCAAATGTGTGGTGGAAGTTTTCTTCTTTTCTCGATAAAACACAGTAAACGTCAGAGCGTTTCCGAACGCCCCAATAACGCATATGATTGGTAGAATGCCACAATAAACGGCAGTCATTAACTGATTCATAACTTCCGGTGAAAACGTCTCTTGCTCTTCGGAATACATCGTGTTTCTTTTTTAAACATTTGATATGAATACTAAAAGTTATCCGTGTCTCAGATACATCAATATACAATCAATCTTTCACTAACGTTATTCCACCTTCAGCATCAGAACATCACTAAAGAACAAAATGAATCAACGCTACCATGCATAAGCTTACTATTATGTCGTAAATAACTCGAACCGCTACCTAAGGAGAACACACCTTTACTTGCAGGGCAAAAACAATCTATAAATGACTTTTTGGAAAGGTGATTACTTACATCCATTCGTGCATGATATCTAATTACCTACCAAGCAGTTTCAACATGCTAATCACAAAAAAAAATCAATTTGTATTTTGCACGTACCGATGAATATCTAATCATAGCTTATCAGTGTTATATTAAACTACCACTTAAAATAACGCCTCCATCACACAGCAGACGATAACAGGGTCCACTTTACGATCGGAATCATTACTTTACGTCGGTGTTTATCGTGCCGCTTTTAATTTTGGTTATTGTAGATGGCGTAGATGGTAACCTGTACGACGGAATGACCGACTTATAGGATGACTGTCCATTTTATGGATAGTTTTCCATGCGACACAACCCTGTGCAGGTTCGGGAACCTGCTATATTCCAATACATGTCGCTAAAGTCGACTAATGTGGGATTTCTGTAGATTCTCTGCCTTTTCTTCTAGATCTTCTGCAATCAAGACCGGCGGCATTTTACGGTATACGTATTTTTCTTCTTTAAGGAATGTGCCGACGGTTCCCGATTGTCCTCGTAATGTAAATATATGGTAATGAGATAACAAATATGGCGGCAATAGAAGGGGTACATTCGCGTTTCCGGTTGAAACGGTTGAACCGGTTGAACCATGTAAAGAAAACGACAAGCACATATATGGACCGAGGCCGACCTCAGGAAAATTTGGCACGTTTAGATTGAGGGGTCCAGAAGTACCTGACCGAAACTTAAATGCTGACTATTGTCAGTTTGCGTTAGTTCTTTCTAAAACAATGTAAACTTACATGTAGTTTTTAAGATACGTTATGTAATTCAGTGGACGGATGAAGGTCATGCTACTCTAGATACACTGTTTTTTATTCTCCGAAACTGTGCATTTTTAGCTCTGCTTATAGAACCGTCCAAGTGCGTTCGTTTATCGTGGAATATGTCTGCGCCACCGTACCGTTTCAACCGGGATATGCAAATGTAGCCCTAGTTACCCCCAAGGTATTTTTTCGTTTACGAGAAGTGCCAGCGGTTACCGATTGGGTCTTCTGCTAAGATGACATAAAAGAAACCAAACCTGATCTGATCCCATTTCAACACTTGCGATCTATATCTAATCTTTTCTCACTTTGTTCCTCTTTATTACCGATTGCGTCTCCCTGTGGCTTTAATTAAAAAAACATCATGCGACGCATTGACTGACCACGTGGTGCCTGGTCATTGTGTAGTGACAAAGTGATATAAAAAATTACAGTAAAAATCGGAAGATAATTTTATTATATCGGATGTACCCTACAGCCAAGTGATATGGTGTAACATCTCTCATGGGTGTGTACGATTATATTTATCACATAACATTCATAATACGAAGAAGAAGAAGAAAAGCAAGCACAACTATGTTGCCAATTGGCTTTTTATTGGTCCAAACCAAATTACTTCGGTGGTAGTATTGTCGTTCTGAGCAGTGCAATGTATTTCCATTTTTTTCTCTATTATGAACAGTTTAAATGCAATGGAAATAATAATGACAAAAAATCAACATTTTAAATTCAGTTATAAGATAACAGTAAAATGTATCATAATTATGGTGTAGTAAATAAAAGTAGTCCCTGACATGTAGTGGCGTAGGAATATGTTCCCAAGGTTTTGATCAAACGAAATACTTTTAGGTTTTATTCCACGGGTGTATTACCATATTTATGACATGGCCGTATTACATAGTAAAATGGGTCAGTTATGACTTTAAAATATATAAGTATGACACTACCATAGGAACATGTCACCAAGTGAAGTGTATAACAATTTTGAAATATTAAATCTGACTATCATAAAGTGTTAAACAGTGAATGTCTCATTACAATGTACATATAAGGGCCTGCCTTTCCTGCTAATTGGCTAACCTATATTCTTAAAGGTTCATGATATGGCATCGCTCTTTACATTTTAAGAAAACTAAAACTAAAATTCTGAAAGATTGAACTATGTCAAAATATAAGGCAAAACGGACGAAGGAAAATATGAAACCATTTATTTTGGTTTTAATTGTAATGGTTACACGTCTTTACAACAGCTGAGGTCAAATGGCGACAGTGTCTTCATATGACGTGTCAAGCAAGGACAAAATTAAAGTACAACACGCTGAAATCAACTTTCCTTGAAAACAAACCATGACGCGTCACCTGGTCAAACAACTCCCAGTGACTGGACATGACAACAAAATGCCACTGCAACCTGTAAGACAAATGGTAAATTATAGCGATGCCAGGAAAAGTCAGAGAAAAATATAGTTGTCTCATGCAGGCCGGTTAGGTGGCATGAGAAAGGAAATTGTGTGATAATATCATCTAAATTACACTACCATAGAGATTTCTCCGTTTATAAAAAGTTAACTAAATACTGAATCTTCTTACCGACTTCTATACTTTATTAACACGGAGGCACGGTGGTCTAGTGGTAGGACGTCGGACTCGTGACCAAAGGGTTGCGGGTTCGAGTTTCGACACGGCACTGTGTTGTATCTTTGAGCAAGATACTTTACTCCGCTTGTTCCAGTCTACTCAGCTGTAAATGAGTACGTGGTTGGGTAGTGTTAGAATTGTTGAATACTAGCTCTGAGCGCCGAAATTGCAGCACAGGCTATATGCTCCCCAGGGAGTTGAGGAAGATATTGGCTGTCGTAAAGGCCCTATAACCACGGAAAATAATTTGTGAACCACTTTGTGACGACCTACGAACTAGGTTGTGATAAAGCGGTATATAAGAACCCCTAATTATTATTTATTATTATTATCATCGCAATCCTCGGTCTGTGACAAACGTAAACAAAAAAGGATTTACGCGGAGGAATTACCATATACCTTAAAACTATGTAGAAATGTAATATTTTATTAAATATTCTCGTCTTTAGCTTCCCCATACATGAACGCACATTCACGCTTAATCATCACAATATGTTTCCATAATGTTTGATAATTTGTTTAGGACGGACTATTTGTTTACGCGGAACACCGTTGTGTCGATAATATTTGCGGTTATAAGATGATATTCCAATTTCCAATTTCCATTTCCTCTGATTTATTCATTTTTTAAAGTGCTGTCTCCCTAGGTACCTTTGGTAATCCTGTCGCAGAAAATTCTGTACACATGTCACTGTTTAACCTTAGCTGTTGAAAAGACGGAAACAAATTGCTAAAAATACCAAGATTCATATAGAAGGGATCGAGCATCTATCCAAATCAATGAGCACGTCGGCGCAGATAGTCAAACAAAGTAAACATAGTTTAATGCAATAAAAAAATCTTTTTTTTGCAATAGGTATGTATTGGTACTCCAGTTGTAATAGACATAGCAACATATATAATCGATCACAAGTATATCTTTGCTCTTCAATGCAGAATCTGAGTTCAACAAATATATGGTCAAATTGAAACATTCTTCTCTCGCATTGATGTACTCCATTGTAAAATTGTGTTGTCATTGTCATTATATTATGCAAAAAGGAAAATAAAAAAGTGTCAAATCAAAAATATAAAATAAAAACCATTTCGTCCCAACATTTTCGACTCAACAGAGGATCTAAGGTCAAGAGAATTAAAATGTATAGATAGATCATTGCCATCCGGTCAGAGTTAATACAGACAATGTCGTGACCACTTCATCCGGAAAGTGGTTCACAAACCAATTTACAAGCGATTGTCGATTTATGAGGAATACAACATGAGTTGCATCCTCGAACTTCCAGTGTTCTTTGCACCCTTAGAATACAATGTATGTCTTGAGAGAATTGAAGGTTCTGTATGCACCACCTTGTGGATGATAGAAATTGTCCATTTTTTTCGTCCTTTAATGTACATCAAAAGAATCGCGCGGCAGCCTTAATGGTAAAATCGGTCGTTTTGAAGTAGAGTGTCGCTCCTCTGTAATCTACAAAGGACAAGTAGCAATTTGTCAAATAGCTACCCTCGTGTCTTCAAATTTTGTTCCGAAATATTCCAGTGGTGCAAAGAACGTAAGTAGTATGATCGCTCCGCAATGCCTGAAATTTTGAGGATGCCATGGTTGCGCTCTGTGTTGTAGGTATTCCAAGTATATATCGTGAAATAAACCTAGGTTTCTGTTGACTGCTGATTGGCTTTTTGATGACCCTGCACCAAATTGGCACCTTCTCTTAACCTGACAACTGACGAACTGTTATTAATGAGGTTGACGTCAGCCGCGTGCCGAGACCCGTGGTGTGTTAAACCAACCAACGCTGCATGTTTCAGCACGCGCTAACCCCAACCTAGTTAATATTCAAAAAAGTGGCAGGCTGACTGCGAAAAACTTTGAAACGCTGAAACATTGTGTGTTTTTGGAGGAAACGGAGTTCACGTCCGCAGAAGGAGAATACATTGTACGTGCATATAGGAGGTTTGTATAGAAAAATTATCCATCTTTCCAACAGTACTAAGCATTTCCCCCGCGTAGATCAACTAGAAATATTGTTTTTGATGCAAGAAAGTTAGGTTGGAACGACATTTCGACATCGAGGGCTTTCCTCCCTCCTCTTATATGTTATCAACATTGGGGTGTCATTTTTACCGAAAGTCGATCTTTACCCCGTACCGGGAATATAAAGATATTTTAATATCTCATTAACGCGATCGTTTATATTTTTTATAAATATATAGAATAATTTCAATCATTATTTTCTAAATGTGACAATTACAAAAATGTTTATTTATTATCTAATGATTTAGAAATCGACGATAATGTGTTTTTCAAGGGGGTAAAACTTGTACGCCGCAGTCAACCGTGAAAATCACGGTTTTTCACATATAACTAGAAATTTAGAGAAAAATAACATGTTATTTTCTGGTATATAGAAGAAAATACCTGACTGTTTATAATTATGTAAGTTTCGTTGAAATAAACGACATATTTCACATGAAATTCTGACTAATAGAAAAATTATGTGTATCTTTTTTGGTTGAAATGAGTCTGAAAGTGAAATTATGATTTTTTCGGGTTCTACTGTCTGATGGTATGAGAATAGCAGATGGGATTGCTACAATTTGATGGACTATTTTGTAGAACATTATTAATCTTGTGCGTAGTCTTCTTTCTTGTAGTGTTTGCCAGTTTAATGAATTTATCCTATCTGTAGTACTACTGATGTTATGGTACCTGTTACAGACATTTCTGGCAGCTCGTCGTTGGACCATCTAGATTTTAGAAGTTTGTTCAACTGTGTGATGGTCCCATACTGTACATGAATATTCCAGTTTTGGTCGAACTAGCGCCAGATATGCCTGAGTCTTGATGTTCTGACATGATGTTTTTAAATTTCTTTTTAGGAAGCCTAAAGATTTGTTGCCATTAGCTATGATGTTGTCTGTATGTTTTGACCATTTTAAGTTTGCTTGTAGTGTAATGCCCAGATATTTAGCTGAAGAGACCAGTTCAAGTTTGTGATTGTGGAGGATATAGTCATGTTTAAACTGTTTTTTCTTTTGTGAGACTGTAAGAACTGTGCATTTGTCTGGATGGAAAGCCATCAACCAGTCCCGCTCCCACCTAGCAGCTGCATCTAAATCCAACTTATGTATAATCAAAGACAATTAAAGAAAATGCATATATCTTTTTCAAGAAAACACGTATAAATGCATGTAACCTATTGTATAGTCTGCACCTTACGTTGTTACGTTATTAAACAGAATTAGGGGCCTAATTCTTTTAACCGTTTCGCCGTATTTATGCTGTCCTTGCAACCTGTGCGGTAATTAGTCTTCCTTTAAAACCAAGCGCTTCAGTGACCGCGATGATCTAAACATGGCGTCTTGTATCCTCAATGCTGGGAGTGTAACTCGAAAGGTGCGAAGCATTGCTTGATACATGGATTTATTCGAGAAGAAATAGTTTCAGAACAATTATTATGAAAATTTGAAAATGGACCTTTCTATTAAAACTTCTATTAAGAAGGAACCAAACGAGGATGAAGCGTTATACACGGGATTGGACCCGGTCGGTTATGGATCTGCCTGTAGGCCTACTAACGTAACCATGGGTGAAGTTCACGGAGGTAGTAGTAATAACGCTTTACAAAATATGTTAACATTTCCGAGGAATATGTTAACAACGCCAGCAGCTAGTTTGTTGACGAGTATAGCTAACGAATACCAACAGAACCAGAGAACTGTATCAGATAATTGGAATCTTTTGTTTACATCTGACTATTCCGGTAACACTGCCCTTGGCCTTGACAATAGTTCCCATCAAAAAGATAACGTTGAAAGTGTAAATGATGGTTTTCTCCGACAGTTACTAACGGAACAAAAGACACAACTTACAAATAGTCTCTCCTCCCGTAGCCCCGAACCACCGACAAGTATAAAAGCTGAGCCCATGCCTAATTACCAACCGGATAGGGAAAGCTCACAAAATGAGACAGGTCTTCTATATACAGGACCAATCAATGACAGAGCAAGCTGTAAACAACCTGACAGTATTATAAGGGCGATGTTGGCAAAACCACCTATCCATGGGTCTTCTGTACAAAACATAAAGAAGGAACCAAATTCTGAAGAAAACGAAAACACACCCAGTGGCTACAGTAAGAATGCATCACATTCAGAACCTCACAGCTCTCAAGAAGAAAACTCTCAGTCTACAAACAGTTACCAAACTTCACATTGTGAGTCAGATGACGTGCTGGATTCACCCGAGACATTTGCTCTACTTCCTCCAAAGGGTAGGTGTAGAAGGCTGCTCTGCATTTTCTTTAATTATGATAATTGAAGTGTAGCGGAACTGGTTGATCGTTGGGGACCAGGAACTGTAAAGTTGTTGATTTTAACAAGGGTTTTAATTGTCATGAATGCGTTAAAAGTAGCGAAATTAAAACCTTTACGAATAGCTGAGACTACTAGGTCAAACATCTTTTGAAAGAACACTAGACGTACACTATATAAAAAAGTTAACAGATGAATTGAAATTGAATTTTTTAACTGCTAGCTGTCTCTCCGATCGAACAAAGTAATGAATATCTTGAAGTTCACAAGCATCAAATAAAACAATAATAACAACCCAGGAAATGACATTTATGGAAAACAACTCACTTACCTGGTACACACTAGTAACCTGTGTCCAGTAATGATGTCAGTTGTTCATTGCTAGTAATAAATTAACAAGCACTCTGAACTCTTTGCATATTTTTTTCCAAAATAGATTTACAGAAATATTGATTCACAAAATTAATCAATTCTGGACACAAAATTGCAAAATGTTAACCCCGCATTATTTAACAACTATACAGTAGCTCAATTGCTAGAGCATCCATCTAGAGTTTGGAGTGTCCTGGGTTTGAACCCAAGTCTGGTCGTGCATTCTCCCACTCCTGTTACATTTGGTGCCTGTGACCATCACTTGTTTCAAGGACTTGTGTGAATGCTTGACAAGGGGAAACCAGAACTTGGGTTGTAAACAGTTGTGTCTTCGGGGGCAGAGACTTGAAGAAAGGAGGCAAGACATGTAGTGGAACTGGACATGGCCGATTGTCAGCAACTTGGTAGCTCAGTCGATAGAGAATCTATCTACAGTTCAGAAGGCTGCAGGTTCAAACCTCAGTCTGGCCATGCATTTTTCAGCTCTTGTTGCAGAAGTGAAAATATGAATATTCCATAAGATCACAAATGTTGTTGATATAACATGCTTGTAATCAAGAAAGAATTATTTGGCAAAACATATAAAACACATTTTTTACTGTTAAATGTCTGCAAAATTGGGGTAGATAGGTAATACATTTTATTTTTCGAACATTTTTGTAAGGTGAGAGTGATCTTGACTTGTTGAACAGTGCTTCCTTAAAAAAATGCCCTCAAAAAGTTTTAAGCAAAAACAATTAAAGAAGGTAGGGTAATCCTTAAAAGATAAAAGAAATTTAGATTCACTCATGAAAAGATGTTTATTTTGGTAATGGTTGTATTTTACACTACTGGCATCTTTTAATGGAATACCAATTGTAATCAATGTAAATTTACAAACATATTTATTTTGTGTTATATGTATTAACAATTAACATTGTGTATGTATTCCAACTTAACATCATAAGAACAACGTTTTATCAATGCTTGTAATTACTATCAGAACTACAAAATTTTTGAACAGACTTTCAGAAAATGTAGCATCGTCCCCTAATTACATAAACGCTTTTACAAATGCACTGGACGAAGCCAGGAAAAATCAGGACATGTTTTATAATTACAAAGCAACTATGATAGGAAGTGAACGTTAACATTTTTAGTATGGATAATAGAGTCCGGTGCAGAGGAACTACAGTAGTTCCTGTACCGGAAAACAACTATAAATATAACTAAATGTATTCCTTTTTCCTTTGTAGCTTCTAATCCACAAATGTCAAGGGAAGACTTCAATGCCTTCTGTCAAGCCATCTTATTAAATGGACGCCCTGCCCAAGTTGATGGAGATCATCCATTGCCTATGAGTGAGCACGTGGATGGCTTCAGTGATGTTGACATATTCAGCAAAGTCAGTCGTAGACAAGAGAAGGGAAAACGAAAGTTTCAGTGCGACATTTGTCAAAAGTCATACGGCCATAACAGTAGTCTGAAAGTCCATTACCGAGTGCACACTGGGGAGAGACCTTTCAAATGCCACGTTTGTGATCGTGATTTCAGTCACTCCAACAGCCTCCAGATCCACATCAAAACTCATTCTGAGAAACCTTTATTCAAATGTGACCAATGTGAGATGGAGTTCACTCGCCCAAACAGTTTGTCCAGACACATGCTCACACATTCCATTGAAAAACCTTTTGTTTGCGGTGTCTGTAGGAGATCCTTCTCACAGGCATGTAATCTTAAGATCCACATGCGGGCCCACACTGGTGACAAACCTTTTAAGTGTGATTTTTGTGGTAAAGCCTTCCGAGTATCCGAAAAACTGAAAATCCATACTCGCATTCACACTGGTGACCGGCCTTACCAGTGCACCGAATGCCCTAAAAAGTTTGCAACATTAGGTGTGCTTAAATCCCACTCTTCCATACACACTGGAATCAAACCTTACAAGTGTAAGGTTTGTGGAAAAGGTTTCAGCGTTTCAAACGATCTGAAGAAACACAACCGTGTTCACACGGGGGAAAAGCCATACAGATGTCAAATGTGCAACAAAGCTTTTGGACAGTCAAGTACCTTACAGAAACATCTTCATACTCACACGGGCCACAAACCACATAAATGTGTGAAATGTGGGAAAGGTTTTGTCGAATTGGCACATGTTATGAGGCACATGCGTACACATACGGGAGACAAGCCGTATAGTTGCCATATCTGTCAGAAAACTTTTAGTTTCTCGGGAAATTTGGCCAAGCATTTACGAACTCATAGCGAGGGCAAACCATACAAATGTGAACTTTGCCCTAAAGGATTTCGGGACCCATCTTACTTGAAGCAGCACATGCTGATTCATACTGGTAGCCGTCCATATGCATGTGACTTTTGTCCAAAACAATTCTTGCAGTCATGTGACTTAAATGCACATGAACGTACACATACTGGTTCCAAGCCTTATGAATGTGAAACTTGTGGAAAAACTTTTCGGCAGTCAGGCCATCTTCAGAGACACATTCTTATACATGCTGAAGGCAACATTCAGGCATCTGCTACGGACAATGAGATAAAAGAGGAGGAGTTCAGTGATGAATCTGAGAATCCAACGTCTGCTACAGAAAATGAGGTAAAAAGCAAAGAATTCACTGGTGAACCAGAGATTGAGACATCTGCTACAGACAATGAAATAAAAGAGGAGGAGGAATTCAGTGACGATTCAGAAATGGACCTTTAAGAAGAAAATGTACATCAACTTTCTAAGGAAAGGGAATAATTACATTGGAAGGGAGACAACTGTACATGCATTGTCAAATAATATCTTAACAACATATGTAAGCCTCTAAACCAGACTTTTTTAAACACACAGGTGCACGTGTTACACAAACAAGGAAAAAAGGTTTTACCTTGTAAGATTTATTGAGCAATATTTTGTCTTAAGATATCAATTAACATTCACTCTCAATAATTCAAAGAAGAGGCTTACGATGTCCAAATTCCCTGTTAAAATGCATTTAGAGTGAAGAAGAAACCGTTTGTTTACATATTTTTTGTAGACCAGACACTGCAATCCTTTGGATAGTGAGATAAGACATATGAAGACAAAATTCTAATACATGAACTGAAAGATGTATATGTTGTTTTTCTAGAATTTGTTTTTTACATTTCAAAGAAACTGAAGTGTATTGTACATGTTTAATTATAAAATTTGACAATGCAACTATATAACATAGTTTTTGGTATCTTTGTGATTTATATTAAGTTTAAACAAATGTTGGGTGTTTTTTTATCGTGAATATACAGTGTGGGATCATATACAAGTATACATTTTTCATGTTATTTGAGAATCTGAAGAAATCTGGCAAACTAAACTGAAAAAAAACATTTGACTTTCATGAAATAGAATCAAATCTGAAATCTTTTCATCTCATTATCCAGAAATTTTGCAAATATCACAAAAAAATCATGTCTATCTATTTTCTCCCTGAATATTTTGAAGTCATGATAAATCTTAGAGTCTTAAGCTTCCACATCACAGTGGAGCAAATTACAGGAGATTATATTCAGAATGCTGTGAGTGTATTATGGTAGGGGTTTACATTTTTCAGTGAAAATACAACCTGCAAAATTTATATTAAACTTAACCATTGTTACAGTAGTACATTGTGCCACGGCTAAAAGATCTGAAATCCGCAAACAAAAATACCTGAGAAATTGAACATTTTTGCAAATTTGAAAAAATTACGTAGGGACCATTAAAAAGAAAGTAGGAAAAAACAGTGCATGGCATTGATGTAAATGTATCCACTGTGGTAATTATATAATCATGTGATAAAATAAAATCAGGGTTTTTGCAAGGTGTTTATAAAAAGGGTCCGCTACAGGGACCCATTCCCAATTGAAAAATGACCCTGAATTTTCCCAATTTCAGTCTTTATTTTCCCATTTGGATTAAAAAAAAAAATTATACAAGTTTTCAGTCGTTTTAAGTGCAAGGTTCAAAGTATTACAGTCCATGAAGGAGCATTCAAAATACATAAATAATGAAGAAACAAAAGCGCTAAAAATTTAAGTGTTTATTTATATTTATAATTATTGCTATACATTTTATTGTAATCAAAGAAACACCTCGAGGATTTTTTTGCTAATCACTCTATAGGTTTTATTTTTTTCAAAACTAACGCTATTTTCCCAGACCTGCGCATTTTCGAACACTGATGATATTTCCAAATTTTTGCCAAATGCTGATGATATTTTCCCAATTTCTGCTCGGAGGCCCTTTCCCAATAAAGCTGGCGAAACCCTGAAAATACATGTATCATGAATTGTTTATACTATATTTTTAAACAAGTATAATGTGTTTCACTTCTACTCCATAAGTTAGTTTTGAATTCTACCATCAATGATGTATAAACCAGATCAGATCTTATAGCCTTTATGTATACGTATGTTCATTTCTGTATACTGTGTATACATGTAAAAGATACATTGATGCATACCAGTACATGTATTTGTTTATGTATGCAGATTCTGTTATGTTCCGGTATGTAAATATATACATATTTAGATACATTTATGTACAGTATTAAATGTCATACCTGATATATCCAAAAAGTAGGTCACTGTGACATCTACGATGTTTCTCCTATGCTATGTCAACTGAAAAGCCCAACATTAAGGCTTGCAAGTAAACGTCTTTGGATGGCAAAAATATGTTGACCTCTCGGACCCCAAACATTGAGGCAGTTGGTTCAGTGCATACATCCATTACTTTTATTTAATATCTTTATTTATTTTACAACTTATATTAATCACTCTTGTTGGCCCGGATGTTAGCGCACGGGGGGTCTTAATGTGGGAGGAAACCCGAGTACCCTGAGAAAACCTACGTGGTCAGGCAGATGGCCCCATACCTTTTTACCTCTGATCAGGGAATCGAACCCTGGCCGCCTGGTGAAAGGCAAGTGCTCTTTCCCCTGAACCACCCGACCACCCTACTTCCAGTAGGGTGACTACATGACCAGAATCATTGCAAAAAAAATGATCCTATCACTTAAAAACCATTCAGTCATTACAAATAGGTGTTTATCTTCCTTTATACGTTATATTAACATACTTTCTTAAGGATCCCTGTCCCTCTGCAGGCCAAACCATTGTCCTCACTAAGTTTTGTAATAGGTGATTGACTTGAAAAGAATATCTGGTTTAATGTTCCCCTGGCTGCTAAGATGTTGAACAATACGTATACATTTTCTGAACAAATAGCTGGATCAAAGTTGAAAAACAGCTGGCAACTTTTGCCGGCAACTGCAGGCTTTTAATGAGAACACTGCAAACTAGATAATCCCACTGTGCTTTTTTCTAAATACAGTTACCTCCCCTTGTTTTGTATGTTACTGCAGAGCATATGCATCTGAGCCGTTATACGTACTACACTGTTGACTAAGTAGTTCAGTTGGATAGAGCCACATTTTAATGATCGGAGGTCAAGGGTTCGATTCCCAATCCTGTCTTTATTGCTTTGTTAAACTCAGAACTTTGTTGTTGATTTTTTAGTTGGGGGGGGGGGGGTCCTGTAGTTTTCATTAATTTTTTCACAAGATAACTTTTTTTTAGTAGAAGTAAACATAATTTATCAATTTCATTCAATGTTCATGTCGGAAATAAAGTTTCGGACACAAAGTTTAATTTTTACCTCAGAAATCAATGTACATTTGATAGCTAAAGAAATCTTTACTGGGAGGGGTCTATGGATAGTCTCATAATACCCTGCCTTTTTAATTATTTTTGGACAGAGGAAATAAATGTATTGAATATATGGACTGTTGCATGTTCCTGTCACAGGTTTGCTGTAGACTTTTATTTAAGTTACATATGTAATACGAAAAATAACATAGCTGCAATCTGTAACATCGGCTTAAAATTACCACATTAGAAATAAATCTTCAAATTTAAATCCACATTCTAGGTGTTAAAAGTAAGAGCTAAACTCTTGATTTGTTTCAACCAATCACCAATGTTTGATATTGATATGTTAAGCATCATTTTCCCACTTACACTGCAGTTTCTCCTATACACAGTAACCTCCCTTTAACTTCCCTTTCGCTGTATAGACCTAACTTGTAACACAGTTGGGCCAGGACACTTACGCTGACTAGGTAGCTCATCAGTCGGTTGGAGAAATAGTATAACAATCTGAAGTACAGGTTTCGAATCCGGGTAGATTTTTACACTCAGAAAACTGTTGATGATTATATTTTGTTTATTTCATATTCAATATTTTTTCATGAAAGTCCTGTAAGGTATGGTTTTCTTTTCAGAAATGATTTATCAAAGCTATAGTCATGCCTGAAAAAAACAGTTCTGATACTTGGTTACTGTTTCTGGCAGTGGTACAGGGATCCTACAACCTTCAGTGTTTAATAAAGGCGACTCCTATTGAAAGAATACTTGTTTCGCCGTCATGAAGAAGCAGAAGCAAGACTGATGTGTTGCTTTTCCAGTGGCGGGGGCGTCAACATTATGTTTTTGCGCTTAAGTTAGTTTTATTGAAAGTATAAGTTCTAGACCAACCAAACCTGGACCATAGATGCATCTTAGGTAGTTCATCTCAACCCGTGCATCAAATGCTTAATGCGGTCTACCTTTCATGGTCCATTTACTTTGTCAGCATCTCCATCAACATTAAGATTTTGCATTAAGTTAGTTTCTCTGAAACTAAGTGCTAGACCAACCAAACTTGACATGTGCATTAATGGTCAAAGTAGGGCACAGACGAGACATATCAATCAAAAATGGCTTGTTTAATCATGTCTCGAAACCAAGCACCAGTAAATATCAGAATGAAGTTTTACATAAATGTAAATGCATTGATTTTAAATGTGTATCTTTTAAGTAATGACAGATTGCTTATATGCAATGTTGAAATTCTTATTTTATTTTGTCTTCAAAAGGTATGAAGTTGTCTTTAAACAGATAAAAAAAATCAATACCTGATATCTTTTTATTGTAAGTTTTTATTTCAAATTTTTATTGTGGTTTTCTATGTTCATGATTTATAGATAGAATGGGGAAGGGTAAGAAAGAGTAGAAGAGGGTAGGTTAAGGTGGAATAAGGTAAGTGAGGGTGGAATAGGGTAAGTGAGGGGGGTTAAGGTAAGTTAGGGTGGTGAAGGGTAAGTTAGGGTGGGATAGGGTAGGATAAGGTGAGATATGGTAAGTGAGGGTGGAATAGGGAAAGTGAGGGGTAATAAGGTAATTAGGGTGGGGTACAGTAAGTTAGTGTGGTGAAGGGTAAGTTAGGATGGGATAGAGTAAGTGAGGGTGGGATAAGGTAGTTAGGGTGGTATATAGGTAAGTGAGAGTGGGATAAGGTAGTTAGGGTGGTATAGAGGTAAGTGAGAGTGGGATAAGGTAGTTAGGGTGGGATAGGGTGAGTAAGGGTGGGATAGGGTAAGTTAGGGTGGTGAAGGGTAAGTTAGGGTGGGATAGGGTAAGTAAGGGTGGGATAAGGTAGTTAGGGTGGGAAAGGGGTAAGTGAGGGTGGGATAAGGTAGTTAGGGTGGAATAGGGTAAGTAAGGGTGGGATATGGTAAGTTAGGGTGGTGAAGGGTAAGTGAGGGTGAGATATGGTAAGTTAAGGTGGGATAGTGTAAGTTAGGGTGCAAGAGGGTAAGTTATGGTAAGAGAGGGTAGGTTAGGTGGGATAGGGTAAGTAAGGGTGGGTTCAAGTAAGTTTGGGCAGGGCAGGGTTAGTTTGGTCGGGTTAGGATGGGATAGGGTATGTTAGGTTGGGTTAGGGTAAATTAGAGTGTGATAGGGTACATAACATTGAGATATGGTAAGTTACAGGTGAACATGGCAAGATAGGGTACATTAGGGTGGGATATGGTAAGTGAGGGTGGGATATGGTAGGTTAAGGTGGGAGAGGGTAAGTTAGAGTGGGATAGGGTAAGTTACGGTGCAAGAGGGTAAGTTAGGATGCAAGAGGGTAAGTTAGGTCGAGAGAGGGTAAGTAAGGGAAGGATACGGTAAGAAAGGGTCTGTTAGGGTGAGATAGGGATAAGTTCAGTTGGGATAGGGTAAGTAATGGTGGGTTTTTAAGTAAGTTCGGGCAGGACAGGGTAAGTTTGGTCGGGTTAGTGTAGGGATAGGGTAAGTTAGGTTGGGTTAGGGTAAATAAGGATTGGATAGGGAACGTAAGGATGGGATAGGATAAGTTAGGTTGGGTTAGGGTAAATTACAGTTGAACATGGCAAATTAAGGTACTTTAGGGTGGGATATGGTAAGTTAGGGTGGGATATGGCAAGTTAGGGTAGGATATGGCAAGTTAGGGTGGGATATGTTAAGTTAGGGTGGGATATGTTAAGTTAGGGTTGGATATGGTAAGTTAGGGTGGGATATGGTAAGTTAGGGTGGGATATGGTAAGTTAGGGTGGGATATGGTAAGTTAGGGTGGGATATGTTAAGTTAGGATTGGATATGGCAAGATAGGGTTGGATATGGTAAGTTAGGTTGGGATATGGTAAGTTAGGGTGGGATATGGTAAGTTAGGGTGGGATATGTTAAGTTAGGATTGGATATGGCAAGATAGGGTTGGATATGGTAAGTTAGGTTGGGATATGGTAAGTTAGGGTGGGATATGGTAAGTTAGGGTGGGATATGTTAAGTTAAGGTTGGATATGGTAAGATAAGGTGAGTTAAGGTAAGTCAGGGGGGATAGGGTTAGAGGATGAAGAGGGTAAGTCAAGGTGGAATTGTAACAGTATACTATGACCATGTTAATCTTGAACCTCTGCCCTTATGTTTTTTTAACAAATTCTTCTTTTTGTTACTTCAATTGTAGTTCTATATATTTAAACGAAATAAATTAGTATGAAAAAGGGAAGGTTACTGTTAAGTTATACTAAAATTACCATCAACTTTACCATACCCTATATTAGGGGAGGGTGACCAGAACCTGTCCTCTTAGGTTGTATTTGATGTGTGTACAGTACAAAACATTAATAGATTATGTTCATGTGCTTGTTTCCTGTTTTTTATAGACATATATATATATATATATATATATATACATATTACATGTATATAAGCTTGTACTAAAAAGTCTAGCTTGCAATAAAAAGAAAATTGAACTGAACTAATTGTTAGTGAATTTATTTTAACTTTTAATAATGACCGAACAGCACGGCTAAACAGATTCAATTTTGTTTTGAACAAGTAGCAAAGCCAGCGATAAAACGTTCTACATATGGATTCTTGTGAATTGTGGTGATCCAATACAAACGAGGCGTGTCCGTTAGTTCTGAATACATTACACCCTTCTGAAAATGCCGAACAATCGGTGTACAGAGGTATAGAACAAGACCTAGCTGAAGGAGGAGTTGTTCTAAGGTCATCTAAATCAGTTGTCAACATACCCTTTCTCCTGCATACACACACGAAAGCACACATACACTATACACATGGAGGCATTTCCTCAAATGACCTTAGCTGTTAATAGGACGTTAATCAAAGTTAAACCAATGTCATGGTGCGGCGTCCGTCGTCCGTCCGTCGTCTTCCGTCAACTTTTCCTTTTAACAACTTCTTCTGAAGAACGAACAGGCATAGAGCCATGATATTTGACTGAAAGCTTCGTTGGTAGGAGCCCGACAAAGTTTGAGAACGAAAATGACCTTGACCTACTTTCAAGGTCACATGGGTCAAATGTTTCAAACACTTCAAACTACTTCTTCCGAAGAACTGAAAGGTATAAAATCTTCAAATTTGGCTGGTGGCTTCCTGGGATAGAGCCCAACAAAGTTTGAGAATCAAAAGTATTTGACCTACTTCAAAGGTCACAGGGGTCAAATGTGTCTAACTCTTCAAAAGACTTCTTCTATAGAACTGAAAGGTATAGAGTCTTTATATTTGGCTGGTGGCTTCCTGGGACAGAGCCCGACATAGTTTGAGAATGAAATGACTTTGACCTACTTTCATGGTCACCGCGGTCAAATATGTCAAACGCTTCAAACGACTTCTTCTGAAGAACTAAAAGGTATAGAATCTTCATACTTGGCTGATGGCTTCCTAGGATGGAGCCCGACAAAGTGTGTGAATCAAAATGACCTTGACCTACTTTCAAGGTCACAGGTGTCAAATATGTCAAAAATATCAAACGACTTCTCCTGAATAATCGAAAGACATAAAATTATAATATTTAGCTGGTGGCTTCCTGGGAGAGAGCTCACCAAAGTTTGCAAATGAAAATTACCTCAACCTACGTTAAAGGTCACAGGGGTCAACAACATTTCAAAGGTTTTGTACTGAAGAACCAAAAGGAATGGATTCATAAGATTTGGCTGGTAGCTTTTTGGGATAGAGCTAACAAAGTTTGGAAAGGAAAAGGACATTGACCTACTTACAAGGTCACAGGGGAAAATATGTCAAACAACTCCTGAAGAAGAACCAAAAAGCATAGAATCATATAAAAAATATTTGGCTGGTAGTTTCAACAGATGGAGCCGACAAAGTTTGTGAGGGAAATATTTGTAGTGCAATATAATATTTAATG